CGTAAGGCGACTATAACCAAGCCGCAGTCGTGTGATGATAACCTGAGAAAATATTGGTTTGATCTCAAGTAATTTTGCCATCTGCTATTCCATATGTTAGTTATTTTGCTGTGGAAATATGATTTGAGATCTGTCGCTCGCAGTTTGTGGATAGAACTCAATAGTTGTGTCCTCTAAGGCTTCTGCATATTTATCCCCAGATCGTTTCCCGTGATTCCAATATGACGTAGCACCCACAGGAAAGCAATGTTTCTGTGATTTAGGTTGTGCAATTCTTGTCTAATGAGTTTGGCCACAGGATGGAAGAATAGATTTTTGAGATGATTTCTAGAAAACATAGTGAGTCAGTATTATAAGAAGTTAGTTTCAGGACATTTTGTAATCAGTGACATTTATATATTGCAAAGAGTTCTCCTGTTAATATAGTATTATTGGAAGAATCATCTCGTCCTAATATTTGTGTCTATTTCTAGAAAATGTGGACATTCCGTATAACCAGACGATGTGCCTCGTCCCTAAAATCCCGCGGCCACCAAACGCTTTTATGATATACGCGACAGAAAATCGGAAGTTATTGTCCCACAAATATCCAGCGGATTCCAACAAGATTATTAGCAAGAAGTTGGGAAGCAATTGGAAGGGTCTGACTACGGATGAGAAGAACAAATATTTTGAGAAGGCTCGCATCGTCGCCACCGAACACAAGGAGAAGTATCCAGGTAAGTGTTTTAGCAAAATATTATTATTTATATATTTTTTATGTAAATAAATAAACAAATTAAAGTTTTTAAAAGTTGCTAAATCATTAATTATCTTCGAATATTTCTAGCATTACTAATGTCTTGTTTAAATATGTAATTTCAAAAAGGTCAGCAATAAAAAATACAAACAAGAGATAATTTCCTAATAGACAAATTTGGATCATTATTAGGCATATATATTTTTACCGACCGGCTTTAGCATTTTAAAAAATCTGTTCTAAAATTATCCCAATAAAAGACGGATAAGGAACAATTGAAAAATCAGTTGAAAGTGGTTAAGCAGTTTAAGAATCTAACATGGTGTATGAACTATAAGGGCGAATCTGCCCAGTTAGTGATAAAGGATGCAATTTAATGTAAGAGGAGAGTTACAAAACACATAATGTCTGTCACGTATCATTCTTCTCCTTCTCTTTCGGCTTCTTTTCGGTCTGTTAAATCATGTGCGTCTGTCATCGAATCTTCCGTGTGACAAATCGGCAGCTCGTCTATTTCTCCGTCCGTCAAATCGTCAGCTCGTCTTCTTCTTCATCGGTTAAATTGCCATATGTCAAATAGTCTTTTTCTCCTTCTGTCTGTGCAAATGGAACTTAACGAGTACAGAGATATGTGACAAATGATAGGATAAAATGGAACGATTTAAAAGAACATTCTATCCAAGCGCTGCAGAATGTATTGATGATACCGCAAAAATTAACCTCACAAGAGTTTTTGTAGAAGGTACAAGTACAATAAAGCTTGTAGGAAAATTGTCTAGCTTCTTAAAAATCAACAATGGTCTCAAACAAGGAGATACGCTATTGACTATCGCTTTGGAGAACATGGTGCAAAAAGAACAAGCACAGATACGCTCTTCTTTAGAAGTCAAAACTTTTGCCTTGTATTGGCAAAATTTATGTACTGCACTGTACTGTATTTTTGTCACACTATCAAAGACCAACTGGAATGTATTCGAGTCTTCCATAAATGAAAATTTAAATTTAAATATAGATTAAAGCAACCAGACGATATCGATAATGCTGTGCTTCTTCTCACCCAAACTATATATGCAGCCGCTGAAATAGTTACACCCCCTCAGAATGACAAAGAACCAAGTGACACCAAAATACCCGTATATATAAAACGTCGTGTTGCACAAAAAAGGAGAGCCAGGCGCATATGGCAAAGAAGTCGCAATCCTATAGATAAAAATGAATACAATAGATTAACACGGCAACTTAAAACTGCTCTACAAGATGCGAGAAATGATACATTTGAACTATTCATCAACAGCCTGTCAAAAGAAGACCACAGCATCTAAAAAGCAACGAAATTATTCAAGAGGCCTACAATGATGCTACCAATCAAATGCTTTACTCCTAATAATGTGAAAGAAAAAATTTCTAGATGCAATAATTACAAAGCACCAAGCTTCGACATGATCACCGGGCTAATATTTAAAAAATTACCGAGAAAGCAATTGTCCTACTAACAATGATATATAATAGTATCATAAGATTAGCCTACTACCCGATTAATTGGAAGTTCGCACAAATAATTCTGATTAGTAAACCAAATAAACCACCAAATATTACTACTTCATATAGACCAATCAGCTTACTTCCAATAATGTCAAAAATCTTAGAAAGTCTTCTGCTCCAAAGAATCTCAGAAGACATCGAAATTAATTCAGTGATCCCAACACACCAGTTTGGTTTCCGCGAAGTCCATTCAACTCTACAACAATGTCATAGGATTGTTAAAAACAATAATGTATGCCTCGAAGAGAAAAAAATTGCACTGCTGCCTTCCTGGATATAGAACAAGCCTTCGACCGTGTTTGGCATTATGGCCTCCTGTATAAACTTAAGTCATCCTTTCCCACTCCTCACTATCTACTCTTAAAATCATACCTCACAGAATGCCACTTTTAAGTCAGATTCCTTACAGAAACCTCTCATTACTATCCTATAAAATCCGGTGTCCCTCAAGAAGTGTTCTGGGTCCTCTCATTTACCTCATATACACTGCTGATATCCCAACAACAAATACGACCACAGTAGCCATGTTCGCAGATGACACAAAGGAACTATGAAATTGTCTTCTTCAGAAAGGTCTTCCCAAACCGTACCGTATACCGTACCACAGCTCTTTAGCGTTTTGAAGTATCAAATTACGCCGATACAACCGTTTTATAATAACCCCCACACATTCTCGATTGGGTTTAAATCTGGTCTGTAGCTGGGCTATGGTAAGGTTTCGATGTTGTTATTCTGGAGCCACTGGTTTATTACATTTGTAGTGTGAACGGGACAATTATCTTGTTGGAGGATAAAATTATTTTCTGAAAACAACTGTTCTACACTGGAAAACATGATATTTTATAGAATATTCAGATAACTCTGCCCAACAAACCTGCCATCAATACGCCATACCATTTCCATTCTTCTAGATGAAGTCCATCCCCATACATAGGTCCTAAAGTGACCAGCTGCTCGATATCTATCTACATATAGAGGATCTTCTTCTTCTTAGAGTGCCATATCCTATGAAACGTCGGCAACTACCATGCTTATAATATTGTTTATACTGATCTCGGTCTTGCGATTACGTGTACAATTGGTCCGCTGTCAAACCTGTCCACTGCCGCAAATTCCTCAACCAAGAGAGTTTCTTCCGTCCTATCCATTTCCTTCCTTCGATTTTACCGTTGAGAATTAGCCGAAGGAACTCATATCTTAGTCCTCTGATTATATGTCCAAGATATTCTAGTTTACGCCTCTTAATAATATTTAATAGAGTTCGTTGATGTCCCATTCTTCGAAGAACTTCTTCGTTTCTGGTTCTGCTAGTCCATGGAATTTTTTAGTATCCTTCGATACAACCACATCTCAAACGCCTCGATTTTATTCATGATATCGGCGTTTAAAGTCCAAGTTTCACATCCATAGAAAAGTACAGACTACACGTAACATCTTGTAAGCTTTTCACGGATTTCCAAATTTAATGAGTTATTGGATAATCCAACATGCAAGGTATTTGAATCTCTGAACTCTCTGCAGCGGTTGTTGGTTTTGGGTTGCGCCGATATCCACTTTACTGGTTACCATGTATTTAGTTTTATCGATATTTATCGACAGTCTCCAATTTGTACATTCCATGTCAACTCTATTGATTAGCTCCTGCAGATCGTCGATATTTTCAGCTAGAAATCACAGTATCGTCGGCGTACCGTATATTGTTAATTATTTCTCCTCCTATGATAATTCCTTTTTGATCTTTTAAAGCTTCCCTAAATAGATTCTCAGAATACACGTTGAAGAGGGTGGAGATAGTATACAGCCTTGTCTTACGCTTCATTCAATACTGATTGGCTTTAATTCTCTGTTGTTGGTATTAATAATGGCTGTTTGGTTCCAGTAAAGTTTGGCAATAATTTGATGTCTTTTCTCATCTAGTTGGATCCTCTGCAAGGCGGATATAGAGAAAAAAATCTATTAATATCTAGTCTATACACCTCAATTTTGCTCTTTTTAGAAGAATTGAAATATTTTCTCATCTGTAAATATTACCCTGTCTCAAAAATCTTGATTCTGTAGCAAATAAAAGTCTTGATTGCTTCTGATGTGCTATAAGAGCTTGTTTTTTTGTTGCAGTTCGGTACCTAAGACGCGATGCTTTAATTCTGCGCCTAGTTGTTGTCTTTCTTCCCGGAAACTGTGACATATTTTTTGCAGGTTTCGTAACTTTAAAAGGATTCTCTTCCAATCTCTCCAAAACCGTACGATCTTCATGAACGGTAGATAATTTTGGTCTTCCAGAATCTTGCTTTCTTTCAGAGTTTTTGTTCTCTTCATCTTTTATTAATATTAAAATCTGTTGTTCTGCTTACGTTAAAATGGTTCGCTACGGCAGATAGTGACCAACCATCTTCAATTTCGTTACAATTCTTGATTTTAGTTCTTTGATAGCATGTGGAGCCACTTTTGAGATTGAAAAGGATAAGTTATCTGACAAATTCTAAGATTTGGCAGTGACAGTATGTAAATAAAAAGTATTTACCCTTCAAAATACACTGCTCAATTTTCTACAAAATACCTACGCTTTAAGAGTCATAGCAGTTTTTTTAGGAACCAGCTGTATATTCAAAATAAATTTTTCGTTCCAAAAATATCTCGAGCCGCTACTGTATTATTACAACATTCCGTACACATTTTCATATTTAAAAAAATTCAACACTTTAGTCAAGTTTGTTCAATGATGCAGTATCGTTTGTGCTTCCTCTTATTTTTTTCACTTTTTATACACTCAAAATGTGATCCAATAAATGTAATAGTGCACACCAAAAAGATAGAAGATGGTGAAAGTATTGTGCACGCAACCATTGATTCTATCTCAGATTTAAGGTACGTTTTAAACAGTTTAGAACAGATCACTTATGTTTCAATAGAAAACCAGATAGTAGAGACTCTACCGAAAGGATTTCTAGCTGGTCATAAAATTGAGAAGTTCCACATGAGTTTCAATCAGTTAAAAGAAGTTGAACCTGGAGCATTCGAAGATTCCTATATATCACAATTGGAATTGGTGAACAACGAAATTAGAATAATTAGAAAAGGTGTACTGAATAACCTTACGTTTATTACTGTTGACTTTGCAAACAACCCCATATCTCAAATAGAAGATGGTGCTTTTGAAAACTCGACAATTTTTAGCCTAGTTGTCATAGAAAATCGATTGAGTAATCTCACCTCCAAGATGTTCAACGGTTCATATATCTCTAACTTTTGGTTTGGTGATGGCAATATAAACGACATTGAGGCCGATACTTTCCGGAATGTTTCTGATCTTTACGGCATAAATCTAGAAGGTAATCAAATCCACAATATTGGAGAAGCATTTTGCGACTTACCATCACTCAGATCGCTCAATTTAAACCACAATTTTATCAAAATCTTGCGACCTGGTAGCTTCAACGGTACGTACTTGGACTATTTGTACCTCAAAAACAACAGTCTTACACGAATAAATGCAGGTACTTTCGTAGATTTACCAATACCTGAGATTGATTTGTCCTATAATTTAATATCCACGCTTCAAGAAGGCGCATTTAAAGATGTACAAGCTTTAAAATTGGATTTAAGTCATAATAAGTTAACTAGAATAACGAGTAATATCTTCGATGACTCTGATATCAATAAATTAATTCTAGATGATAACGACATTGTGGATATTGACAAAGACGCTTTTGAAAACATCCGTGGACTTGTTACGCTAAGCTTGAAAGGCAATAAACTTACTAAAATAAAAAACGGGATGTTTCCAGAAATGAGTATAATTCTCTTGCAACGTAACGCAATCGCTTCAATTGAGAGACGAGCTTTGAACAATCTTAAATTTAGTCTAGACCATCGCGATGCTTTAGCTGACAATCCTGTGAAGTTGGTCAAGTTAAACGAGCGTTATTGTGTGGTTTAGTTTTTGTTAATTCAGATTTAATTTAAAAAAGTGTTTAAAACTTGTTTTTTTTTAATTTAAAGTATGTTAAATGTTCTCAAAAAAATATTATTATGAATCACAATGGCAAACTTTTACTATTACAATTATGTCCACACAACTTGTTTAAAAAGACTATGGGAATATGCAAGATATTCTCCGAGTCTTTTAAGAGTTAATCAGTTTCTTAGAAGTTAGAGTTTATTAGAGTTATATTATATTTACAGATTAGAGTTAATCATAATATCTCAGAAGAGATATTTCTTCAAATTTGTAAATTATTTCAAATCTGTTTTTTTAAATAAAGTACTGTTATCTTCGTTCAAATTACTTTTATTGAAAACAGTATAAACAAGTTATAGTTTATTTTTATGAACGAGAGAGTAATTAGCATAATTTTAACTGGTACCTCCGACCACTCCATGGGCATGCTCAAGATTAATTGAAAAATTACTTTGAATAATTGTAAAAAATAAATGAATTATTTCAGTGTTATAAAGTGTTATGTGTATGTTAACAAAAGTGACCTCTTTTATCACACACTATATTAGAACTGACTGGCCTACATTAAAAAGGGTTTTAAAAAATTCACATTTTTTTTTAATTTTTAAAAATTACAAAAGAGAAAAAGAGTTTTTAAAACCGTCTAAGGTATGTTAAATAGATGAATAAAAATATTAATATAAAACTTACAGCTACTTGTTACAAATCCAAATCAGATTCAGAAGATGAACTTTCAGAACCAAGATTTATAATAACTGGCTCGATCATTTTATCAGTAATATTGTCCAGCTTCCACATTTTTTTCCTCTTCTTTAATAGTGTGATTTACTGCCTTTTCCCAGTTTTCAGGTTTTACATTATTTACGGCCTCCAAAAACAACTGTTTAACATCATGAATTTTAAAAGTGGTATTTTTTCTTGAAACTTCACTCTTTATCTGTGCCCATACCAGTTCAATCGGGTTTAATTCACAATGATATGGTGGGGATCTAAGTACTGTCATTCCACGATTTTTGGCAATTTCATCAATTTCGTATTTTTTAAATTTTTCTTTATGAAGGGCACACAACGAATAAAGTTCCTTTCTTATAGATCCGGAATGGTACGTAATATTTTTTGAACTCAGCCAATTCTGCAAGTCTTTTTTTAACCACTTGGTTGTGGGCAGTCCTTCTATAAGTCTGGAGTGATAACTTGCATTATCCATTACTATTACACAGTTCTTAGGAAGAAGATCTATCATTTGTTCGAACCATTCTTGAAAGACATCAGCGTTCATGTCTTCATGGTAGTCACCGGTACGAGTTGATTCAAAAGTTAATAAACCACCTTCAACAAAACCGTCTGAACTGCCAATGTGTACTATTATCAGCCTGCGTCCCTTTCCTGATGGTGGGTTTAAACCAGTAGATAAGTTATTTACAAAAGCGTGCCTTTGACTTGTAACAGTTTCATCCTGCCAAAATTTATTTGGTGTATGACCCTCGTTGATCCTTGTTTCATCAAGATAAAATATTTTTCTTTTTTTGTTTCTCATTTCCTTTATGGTTCTTAGAAAATGTCTTCTCCATATGACAATATCGCTTCTTTCTAGTAAAATAGACTTTCTGGGATTCTTTTTCCAGCGGAAGCCTATTTCTTTTAAAAGTTTCCATAACGTACTTCGACTCATTTCTGGGTAATCCTTATCATCTCGAACTGAGACAAGAACTTTATCCAATGTTGGAAATTCTTGTCTAAAGAAGAATTCATGCACTTTCCGTCGAAGTCCTTCTTTAAAATGATATTCTATTTGAAATTTTGGTTTCCCTGGAGCATTACGTGGCATTTGAAAACTACCACATTTCTCTTCTTTAATAACTCTGTAAATCGTAGATTTCCCAACACCAAGTGTACTGCTAACTAACTCAACGGTCTCATCAACACTTTCACATAAACGTTTGTCTGTAAATGATTTAAAACAATTAAATATTAATGTTTTTTCATTAACTGTTAAAGGACCAATTTTTTGGCGTTTACACGGCACTTCCAAATTTTCCATAACACTAGTATACACAATAAACTGCACCTTGCAACTGAAGTACCTACTGTTAGTGAACTGTTAAGAATTTTGAATACGCCACTTGGACCTTCCTACAAAATGGAAAAACCCACTATCACATTTTCTGTGGAATAAGTTTAGAAGGTAATTATCTAGTCAATTACTGTCGTAGATTCCTGGAATTAAAGAATTAAATGTTTGATTGTTGAAACCCTTACTTCGTGGAATGCACTCATTTCAGATAAAATAGAACGTTTTATTTTATCTAAAGAATTAAACTTTATTTTGCAAATAGGTAGGTACTTATTAAACTTTTATTGGTTATATATAACCAATAAAATAAACATCTTACATTTCTTGCAAATTCATTAGTACCTGTTAACCTCCATCACTCCGACACTGGCAACCTTATTTAGGGATTAGTAACCCTCACAACTATTGTATTCTGTTCTGCTCCAACTTCTATAGCTGGTGGTCATACTCAATTTAAAATTGTTTTCCTATATACTTCTGTAAACTTGTTGACAAATATCTGTTTTTCATTGAGTCACCCGTATCAACAGTTTAGGGATTTGCATACATAATTTATTGTTTTATTACTCTCTCATACATAAAAATACACTATACCAGTGCAAGGCCTATCAGGCGTAAATCCACTTTGGTCTTCGCTAATTAGATGTCCTACTTCATCTTGTATTTTTCCATTTATTATCTTTCCAAACAATCCCCCGAAAGTAGATAGGACACTTAATCCCCTGTAGCAGTTAGGATCTTTTCGGTTACCCTTTTTAAAGATGGACACTTGTTGAGCGGTTTTCCATTTGTAATTTGTTGGCATCATTGATTCATTAGAAAAGTTATTTGTTCTATTAGGAGTGGACCCCCTGCTTTAAGTAACTCTACCGCTATACTGCCAGGTCCTGGAGATTGTCTGTTTTTCATTTTAATTACCGCAGTACGGAGTAGTATTAATTTTACTATTTGTTTGTCTCTCCATACTGTATTCCTCTCCCATATATTGCAATCTAGACTCTCGGAGTAAATTTTTATAGTGATTTTCCCACTTTTTTATAGGAATTAAGTTGCTTGAGGAGTTATGGGTGTTTTTCTTTATATTAGTGATAGTTCTCCATGGTTCCGTAGTCTGAGAACCACCTTCAACTTGGACACATTTTTGTTCTCAGAAATTGTTTTTTGCTCTTTTATTTGATTGCGTACTTATCCGTTTTTCGTTTGATATATGACTCTATTGCTAGATGTTTTATTTGTTAGCAATTTCTTATATATTTTGTTTTTTTCTTGTATATTTCTTTTACGTTTTCTATCATCCATGATAGTTCGGGGTGTTTTTTGTCGTTGTTCTCTGTTCCTAATACTTCATAAGCAATTTTTTTATTATCGTTTTGAGGTTGTTGTATTCTTGTTCTACGTCCATATTTCTTTCAATCTTATTTAGTTCCTTTTGAATCTAGATTGAACAAAATATTTAATACTTGGTGGAATAAATGGTGCAACTTATATCTTTCCGTTGTGTACTGTGTAGTATTGTTTCTATCACTTTCGGTGTTCTGTTTGTAGTATTGTTTAAAGGGGCACAAAAGATAAGCTAAAAGAAAGTAGTGATCTATCCCACAGTTAGATCCTCTTTTTACTCTGCAATTTTGGCACGTAAATTTTGATTTCTGTCTCATTATTATATAGTCTATGATCGACTTCTATTTGAGTTAAGGTCGTTTCCAAGTGTATTTATGAACATCTTTATGTTGGAATTGGGTATTCATTTTTTTTTAAACCAAAAAGTTGACAGAACTCTTTGTACATTTGTTGGCCACCTTTTAAGATTCTGGCATGAGGATTTTGTTTCTAGCAGCCATTTCATATGCCAATTCTCTGACTTGTAGAGTATTCAACCCAAAAACCATTTTGTAGCATAATTTGGCTCAATTTTTTCATTTGGATCATTTTTTTCTTTTAGAACATATTACTTTAATGTGCTAAGATTTATGCTAAACATATCCACCGCAACACGAAGTGCAGTTCCATTTTTTTGAACGTCTATGACTGCTTGCAGCCATTTGTTCACTTCTTCCCCCTTATGGCACACCTGCAATAGAATGCCATTGGTATAAAATGATTCAGTATGGTACACAATGAAACATGTGTGATTGTGTACCACCACTATATATTTCAGTGTGTACTACCATATGTGAGTGTGGTTTGAAATTTCAGTTTGATGTAAACGTAAAACCCGGCAATTACTGGTAACAATATTTATAGGTTAAAACGCATTCATCACAAGTATTATAACGACATATATACGAAAACTAAAACTATGTATTTATTGGCAACATACCTTTTTATAAACGCTCCAGTTTTTAAATCTCAGGCACAAAGAACAATAAAACACGTCGTATATGTCTACTACTTCGTATATCATAACAAACTACTTTCGGCGGACGCAATGCATTATGGAGTATCCGTTGCAGCGTTAGTGGCAATGTGGCGGCAAATTTGATTTAGTTAATAACAATGTTTTATTCTGTATTATGTTTCAATGTGTACCACTCTCCTCTACTGCATTTTTTAAAATACCTAAACATTGAACTGATTAGAAAAATTATAAAAGTAATCAGTGTCAGATTCAATTTTAAATTAGTTGAGAAAAGGCAGCAAATATTTGATTTCACGCAAACAAATCCATGTATCTCTTGATACGTATTTCGACCTAATAGGTCTCGTCAGAAGAGCTATTCATAGGGCTTCTCAACGTGAAAAATCAATATTTTCTGCCTTTTAAGAAGCAACAATAACATGGCTTCAATACGGACGCAATAGCGACATCTAATTACAACAATCGTAAAATAGTTTCGAAACACAATTCAGATTTCTGCTTTATAATCTGAGCCTTCTAAAAATTGCAAGGCAAACAGACGTTGAT